GGGTCCGCGGGGTTGGGCAGGGGCGGCGGGCGGTGGGTGCCGGGCCGGCGCCGCCCGGCCGTGGTGACAGCTACGCCCCGCCGGTGTTCGAGCGGCCTGTGCGGGGCAGCCCCTGCACCCAGCGTCCCGCCCGCCGGGGCGGCGGCTCCGCGGGGCCGGGGCCACACGCGTGCGGCGGCGGTGCCCGTGTGCATGCTGATGGGGCGGGCACGCCTATCCGCAGGGACCGGGGCCCCGCCGGCCCTCCGCTGTCACCGCCCGTGCACGTGTTACACGCTGCCGGCCGGTGCCTCGGACACGGCGTTCCGCTGTCAGCGCCGCTTCGCGCTGTGATCGCTCTTGTCGCTGCTGTAGCGCCGGGTGCTGCTCTCGCTCCTCACGCACGTGCGGCGGGCCGGGGACAGGCACAGGGCCGGGGCACAGGGCCGGGAACAGGCACAGGGCCGGGGAACAGGCACAGGGTCGGCACGCCTGCCCTCTGCAGCGCTGTCAAGCTCACCTCGAACCCTTTGTGCTGCCTGCAGAACAAATGCGTGGTAGGGACTAGAACTTAAAAAAAACAATAATCAACTGCTGGTGTCAAAAGAAAGTGCACAGACTGGGTAATTTCCCGGGGAGTGTTTTCTGAGACCTGACTGAGAAGGTATGCATGCAGGCAGGCACCTGCTCTCAGAAATAAACTTCCACGCATGTATAGTGTGCAGTGGTTTTTATTGTGGGGTTATTAATGGTTGTCATGGATCTCTGACTATGGAATGCATATGCTGATCTGAATATTTTGTCATCAGTGTTTTTGTGTTAGCTTAGGTCTCATCAGTTGGCATTGCACGAAACCACGGAGATGGAGGGCAGGCAGTCACATATCTTCTGTTTACGGGTTTGAGCCCTCCCCTTTTTTTGAGCACATTGATGGCTTTTGATATGGGCAGTGCCCTGGATAAAGGCCATTTGGTCTGTGGATTTTTATTTTTTTTGTAAAGTTCATGCTTTTCAAAACATAACCTTTGCCTTGAACCCTTCAGGGTCTAGATGACGGAGGTGTATGGTAAGAGTTGAAGGCCTGGCAGAGCTCATTTTAGAAATCTGTAGTGATTTAGTTGCATGAGTTTTTCTGTGCTCAGCTTATACCTAAGGGTCCTTCAGTCCCCTCACACAGGAAAGCAACAGCCTCTTTGCCTTCCAAAATTGCTGTTCTGTAACATTTGTCAAAATGACTGTTCAAATTTGCTGATTGTTTTGGAAGACTAGTTATTACCACCTCTGGCTACCTGTTTCCTTGCCAGCTCCTGTGTTACCTTTACTGCTGGGGTTATAATAATTCATAAAATGACACGGCAGAAGTGTCCTATTTTAAGTGTTTTAGTCACTGTACCTTGGAACTTTCCAATTTAAAAGTAACGTGTGTAGAACCTACTAAGTACTGAATTTTTTAAGTTAGTTTTTGGACTCTGGTTGTATTCTGTCTTGTAACTTATTTACTTGGAGGCTGAGGAACATTTTTAGAAGTGCTTTGCTCTCTCTCTGTCTTGTAAATTTGTAATTTTTTTTCTGTATTGAAGATATAGGGTGGAAAAGGGTAAGTTTCAACAATAAAGTAATAGTAATAATAATGGGGTGAAAAAAGAGTGAGCTTCAGCTTGCCAAAGTATTCAAAGTGTTGCTAGAATTAAATTTAGGTGGAATCGGTTTCAAACTCCAAGTGGTAGGCCCTTGTGGAGTTTTTTTAAAGCAGTATCAAGACATACTCAGATATCTTAGTCTGTGTGTGTATTGACTGTCTAGTTTGTGGCATATATTTACATGATGCTGAGCTTCTATTTCAGCTATTTCCTTTATTCAAAGCAGAGCAAGGGAGAATGTATCTCAAATACACCCCTACATTGCTTTTCCTAAATTACTGGAGTTTCCTTTTTAAAAAGCCTTAAGAAGTTTTAGAGGCTGTTGGCTAACAATCTTGAATGAAAAATTGTGGAAATAATTTCTGAAAGGAGCAGAAGCTTCCTAGGAAAGCCTAAACAGTGCCTAGGTCCTGTGAAGGTTGCATTGTGACCGAGTGGCTGCTGCCAAGGCTGGCTGAAGCCTCCTGGACCTGTGGTGTGACCTGAGGTGCTGCCTTCTCTCCCCACTGCAGGCTTCTCTTTAACAACTGTCTGTTCTAAGGCATCTGTCTGCATCTTGAGACACTGGGCAGTAAGCATGGATAGAGAGGTTTGTAACCTAGCAAATGAGGTTGTTGCTAAAGTAAATATTTTAAATTCGTTGTTTCCAATGTAAATTTCCAAAATTGTGTTCTAGCAGTTAATGGGGAAAAAAAAGATACCAGCATTGCTATTATATCATTACTTGTGTGTTAACAGGTGTCTTTTTCTTCCCTGATTGTTACTATGCAAATTGTGAGAAAGTAGTAATGGCTCTCAGTGCATTTCCCTATATATCATCCTGTAATTTTGTTAAATTGATCACTTTACACTTTGAGTCTTTGGAATACAACAGAATTGAGGAACAGTCCCACCTTCATGAAGATGAGACCAGATTTGCTGGCAAACGCAGTTGAAAGCTGACATGTGGCATTCACATCTCCAGCGCAAGGATGTCACTTGTGTGGATGGCTGTGCACAACTAGCTCTGAATATGCAATTTTATTGATCAGCTCTCTGGAAAACCAGTCCAATAATTTTGAGCAAGTTGAACAGATTATGTAAATGCATAACAGTGTGCAACTAGCTGTCTAAAGATTTAGGTAAGGTAAACATGTTGAAATAGAGATTTTGATTAGAAGCTAAGTAGCTGTTCAGTCAAATTTTTTTTTTGCCAAGTTTTTTTTTAAATTATTATTGAGAAATATACTATCTTAGTTAAGGTTATGTACACATATAAAGAGATAGTCAAATAATTAAAAAATAACCCACAACAGTATTTGGTTTGGTTTCAAGTTAGATTTTTTTTTCCGAAGTATGCACTTATTCCTAACATTTTCCTGTGCTGAGATACATTCAATACAAGGGAGTTTTTGCTCTCTTGGAATTAAAGGTGCTGTTGTGTACATTGTGATTCTGGCTTATCTGTAATATTTTTCCTTAGTCGGAGTTCTCAGTCTTGCAGTTCTATTAATAATGCAGGTGTTTGCATGACAGGTACTCTCCTGTGTGGTGGCACTCTTAACATGGTGATTTGTGAAATATCACTGTAAATCAGTTGTGTAGTGCTGCCTGCAAGTTGTTTTGCACCAGTCTGAGACAGCTTCCATGTCCTCCATCCTCTGGGGACTGTAATCAGACAGCAGTTCTGAAAAGAGCAGGTAATGCAGAATATGGATGAAAAGTTTCACAGCATGAGAATGATGTTACTGTTGACTTAATGCAAGCTTTAAAGAGTTAAACGGGGTTTGCCTTGGCAGGGTAGTTAGTAGCAAAACTCAAGGATGTAGGAGGATGTGTGGGTTGGGGGTTTTGGATGGGATTTTCTGTGTGTGTCCCAAGAGCAGCAGTAAATAATGTTAGTAGTGTCATAATTAGAAAGAAAGAAAAAGTATTTGGGATACTAAAGTGGCTATTTTACAGCTTTCACTGTGTTTAGATTGAGCCTGGCTAAAATGTGAGAAAAGAACTGCTGAAATGAGAAGCCTTAAGTGCAACAAAACCCAAAAATCAAGACTTGCACTTAAGTTTGGCCTGTTTATTGTAGATTTCTGTGATTCTTG